AAGTCGAAAGTGATCAGTACTACTGTTGGCTAGTGAAAAGAGGCTAGCGTAGAAAGTGAAATAATGTATTCCATTTAACAACGTGTTTTTTTGGTTCTGGAATTTCACAGATTAAAACACAGTCCTACGGCAACACATCACAGTTTTCAAAACCGATTTAATGTTACAGTTGGACCAGATGCGAAAAACCATTTGCATGCTCTTCGCGAATTTCGAACGAACTGGCAGCGTGGCTGATGATCAAAAGTGAAATGTTGGGCCTAGGCAAACTGTAGTCACTCATGAAAATGCAGCCAAAGTTTTTAAAGTACAATTTTGGAACAATTTGTCAGCACTCAACTAGCGTTGGAGGATCAACCAGGTATCGACTGGTTCATGCCAGATGGGGCTCAACCACATCGAACAGATAAAGTTTTTTGCTTTCTTCACAAATACTTTGGGAATAGAGTAATTGCGTAAGACTATTCACAATTTACTGACACAGGAATATTTTGGCCTCTATATTCTCCCAATATGAGTCCTTGTGACTTCTTTCTGTGTGGTGCATTGAAAGACATTGTCTATTGAAACAATCCCACAACTCTAGATGAGCTTGAATCGTTGATTAGTGTTGCATGTGATTCCATTTCCATTGAGACATTGCAAGACGAGATGTCAAATTTCATTGTTCGTTTATGCCACTTCATAGTTTCATTTCAAACAGTGAACATTTTGAAAAAATTGTATTTTGATTGCAAAGGCTGCTTCACTTTATTGTTTTTGTTTTTTTAGACTCCTTTCAGATAAAGAGTTTTCAGCGCAGAGCGTCATCTGTTAATGATTTTCGTAACTAAATTTTCTAATTTTTTGTACACCATTTTTACAGTTTTGATAATAAATGTACAGATTACCGCATAATTCTATCGATCTTTGTTGTAGAGATATTAAATTTTGAAATCAGGGCTTATTTGCTGATCACACTGTAATTAAATAATATATATATTGACTATAATAAAATCTTTCATTTTCATAAAAAATAAATTACTTTCTTAAAAATCCAACAACATACTTATGTAGCCTTACAACAGCTAACTGCTTGCCCCTCCCCATTAAAAAAAAAAAAAAAAAAGTCTTATCATTAGACCAGAGCACTTATTAGGAAATCAAAATGAGTAAAAGGTTATGTGACTCTTTAAAGATCTATAATTGTAGATTTTTAAGCTCTCTCATGACTTTGCCTGGGTAATAATTGATTCCTGCTTAAAACAATTGAGCATAATGAGACGATAAGGCTTCTCATGAAAGACACAGTCATTCTTAGAAATCAAATATTTTAATGACTTATTATGTCACAAAATACTCTGATAAAGTTACAAGAAAAGGTGAATGTTTCTAGCATGGAAACTTGAGCTTTCTCCTTGTAATTTTAGGCAACTATGAATTGAACTTTTTGACTGGGTTGCACTTACTGGCTTTTAAAAATATTGGGATACTAAATTACTAAAGCAATAATTACCAGGCATTCATAAACAAATATTATATAAGTAGATTGTTTAAAAGGAATGAAATGGATAGAGATAGAAACTGTGAAATTTAATGTTAAAGAAATAACAATTTTATATTGTTATATATGAACAAAACCAGTATTCTTTTTCATTCAACTTATAGCAGAAGAGGACTGGATATTACAAAATACTAAAAAGCTAATAACGTTCTCGGTAGTATTGCATGATATTTTCTGGAAACAACTGTCGGAAATCTGGACTTTAATTTTTTCCCTCTTGTAGAGCATAATCCCATATAATAAAAACAGAAATAAACAGTGAAAAATTAATTAATTCTGCTTTAAAAGCAAATTTTTACATTTACTCATGCATTTTTTAAAAACCTTTGAAATTAAATACTTACAATACATTACAGACCTAATAAAAATTTCATTTCTTTTCGGTTTTTCAGATACACTAAGCCAATTTTTGTATCAACTCATTACAAATAATTAATCAGAAATTTGATCATATTAGATCTCCCTCAAGCCTTGAAGTGCCTGAATGATTGGTATTGTATCATGTATGTATAATTTACTCTCTCTAAAAATCAGACAACTTATAATGTACATATGAGTATGGTCAAAGAAATGAAAATACCTTTATTTTATTTTTATTTATTCAACTCTGCAAGTACAGTCAAAAGTTGTTAATCCGGACTCGTCGGGATTTCGACGATTCCGGATTATCGATTTTTCCGGATTACAGATCATCAGTTTAAATCTGGTAAGATGGCATGCAGAAATTGCAAAATTAAAAATATGAAACCATAATTTATGAAATAAAGAACAATTATGATCTAAAGGGTATTAAAATTTACAAAAAAAAAAAAAAAAAAAAAAAAAAAAAAAAAAAAAAAGCTTAACATTTATTTGTTTACATTACTTTCTTCACTATCGGAAGCGAATTATAATGACGAGAAATTTGATTTAAGTCATATCAAAGACAGAGTACATTGAGATGAAATACTACATTTAGTACGGAATTGTAAGCCAAATAAAATGAAAACATCTGCCCTGAAGATAAGGATAGTGCAGACAGATCAACTTTATGCCATAAATTCTCAACTGGATTTAGGTCTGGTGTCTGAGAATGCCAAGGCCCATCAATCCCATTTCATTTAAATCAGCTTTTTGTCAGCTTTGCTCAATGCTTTGGATTATAATTTTGGTGATAACACTACTTTAGGACATGTTTTCTAAGACACCCACATACAGGTCTTTGGTCATAATATCATCTATAAAAAATTGGGCCTATGCCCATACCAAGCAAAACAGCACTATATAACATAAAACTTCCACCCCAAACCAGTAATTTTTCTTACATACTTTGACATGCCTGGCTGCATATAAGCATTCTGTACCACACCACACACACAGGGAAATATCCCTCCTCATGATTGGATATTGCTTCCGATGACATCCTTTCCTTTCCGCTTAGGAACACCTTGACTTTGCCTGGTCTCGAGGGTACAATACCATACCGTTTGTTTACCTTCCGAGTTCAGAAATGATTATTATGCCCATTGTATTTTTGTTGCTATGATATTACACTAACGACAATGTAGTGTTGTGAATTTAATATTAAAAAAATGTAGTGTTCCCCCGCCTAGTGAGAAAATGCATTATTTCTTCTTGTGCTAACTCCGTAAACATGTATTAATATTAACTGCAGAAAATTTTAATGAATGTTTCAATTTAAAACCCTTCATCTTAAAAGTGTTGCGATTATTAATTCCTTATTTCATGTTCATAACACATCCATTCTCTGCAGATGCAATCTCCAAAACCAAGATACAAGTCACTTTTCGGAAACAGCCAAAACCAACGTTGGGAGCTAACAACGTACAGAGTAAATTCATAAAATTTATTTCTGAAGTTAGACTAATATAGATTCGAAACAGAGAAATAGAGATACATATTTTAAATTGATTAATATTATTTTATGAACATTGCCGATTTTTTAATGTGTAACATCTTTTGTACCTTTGCATAAAAAAGTGTTTGTCAGAGAAGGAAGTTTCTTTTCTTGTACATGTGTATTAAATTCAACGACGACACTGAATGCACTTTTTTCTGTCTTTTAAAGCAAATGAATATTAGAATGACATGGACATTAATATGGAAATAACGTAACATTTGCAAAGGAAATATTTTCTGCAATGTGATAGGAACAGAGTGCAACAAAGTTTCAATAATAATATACTTGTTAGCACACAATGCCTTTATAGCTGGATCGAGACCATCGTGTTTTGGTTTTTGCAGTAAATTCATGAACTCAGCTATTTATATGATCTAAACACTTAAGATTGCTTCTGATATTAACAGCATCTTTGAAAGATTTTATAATTTTATAATTCCATGAAACAGGAAACCAGCTTCAGAATGCTGCAGCTAAATTTTTTCATTTCAAAGAAAACAAACAATAATTTTCACGCTTCCGTGTCATTCACTGAAAACAAAACCACAAGAATCCCATCTAAACGTCATTACGTGAGAGAAAATGATGTCATTGGAAAGAATGTTTAGTCACAAGTATGGACTTTTCCCTATGCGCATGGCGCAGGACAGAATGCTTGTATGCTGCCTGACCCCGAAGTTCGTGAGCAGACTTTGCACTTTTTGTTTCATAAGTCTAGAATATATTTCTCCATTGTTCCTTTGATTGTTCAGGGCTGTTCTCAATATGATGCAGTTTGAAAAAATGAATACTCTTTTCTGTATGTACCTTCTTTGAAAATGGAACTTTTCTTAGACTTCAAGAATATACCTTTCCCTTCAGCAGTGTGCATAAACTAATCTGTCATTTACACTAAGACCAGTTTCACCTTGAAGCTCTTAAGCAGAAGTGGTTTCTTTCTTAATTTTCAGAGAAGCATTATTTTTTCCCTTGAAATTATTTTAGAAGGCCTACCCCTTATGTTCAGGCATATTTTTTGGACATACTGCAGGAAAAACTTCCTTTGGGGGACATCAAACCAATTTGGAAATTGTTCTTGTTGATAATCCATTGTTATGTATCATTAAATCAATTTTTAACTATACACTATTGCAATGCTTTCCTCTACCCAATTTTGATAATATAATTCAAAGAAAAGCAATTGTTTGATGAGAAATTTCAAAAGAATAATAATTAAAAAAAAGCAGTAAATGTTATTTTTTGTTAAAGTGTTTCTATTTTTTTGGGGGGGGGATCAAGTACCTATTGGGGATAGCTCAAATAAAAACATTATGATATGAAAACATTCCAATAATTGGCAATGATACTTACAGAATGAAAACAAATTATATTGCTATGATCCAAATGACATACATTAGCCACAATTTTAAAAACATTAAATTTTGTTATTCATAAATTAAAAAAAATAATAATAATAAAAGGCATTTACTCTATTTTTTGGTCATATCTGTAATACAACATTTGGAATTTATAAATTAACTCAACATTTTTATATTTGACAATTCATTTGAAACTTACCCAGAGTATCCAAAGGGAGAAGATAAAAGAATGCTGATCTTGAATGACAAACATAAGTTGATGATGCATTGTGTAAAAGCAGCAAAAAATTACAAATACTCTGGAATATTAGGCCATCAGATTTGTATTTCAGCAGTTTTTCTATCAGAATAGGAATCATTTTGATAACCACTGAAGGCAGAGATATATCATCTGACATAATGTAGATCTTCTAAAAAAGATGCAGCAGTTCACACACACATACGTACCCAAAAAAAAATCAATATTAGTTGAAAAGAAAATAAACAAAAATTCAAGCATAGAAAGGATTGCTTACATATCACAAGAGTTATCACACCATTATAAAAATACAGATATTTTATTTGATTTCTCACATGAATGAAAATAAAGGTATAAAAAGACCTTTAACTGCTATACGAAGGTTTTCTGCAACCCATCCATTACATTCATTTATGCTCTTCAAAAATTTTTAAGGGAAATAGACAAAGAGAGTTAAAAGTTTTAATATTTCTTTTCATCTTCTATAAATAAGTACACATTTATAAATAATCGGGATAATAGATAACACACACTAGGATTCAACACTACACTATCATTTTTCTACTTCAACACTATACTATCATTTTTCTACCATTTCATAATTTTCATTGCTACACTTGATGCTTATATATAATTAAACCTGGGTTTCACAAGAAAAAAATTTCGTCTGATTGATTGCATAGTTGGCATAACACCTATTTCATCTTTTTACCTACACTGAACTTGCTAATGAGTACTTCATTAAGGTTTCCTTTCGTAAACTTACTGAAGTGACAAAACTGGTACCTCAAAACTATCTCTTTATGTTTTAATGACTAATTGTTAATTCTTATTAAAAAAAAAATCACACAAGTGTTCACTGTTCATACATAACTGAAAAAGGCAACTGTCTTAGTTGTTGCTTCCAGATGTCAAATTTCAGCAGTCGATAAAGGAGCATGCAGTTATACTACAGACTGCAGAGGGCATACAATAATTTATACTACAGCAATCTACTGTGTGATTTAAAATTTACAGCTTAATAATATGAATGGATGAATATTATTTCTTGGTAACATCAAACTGAATAAATATGAATTTTAAATCATAAGTTCTTGTACAGTGCCTTATCTGCTTTATTGTATATGGAGAAAATATATGGCGAAGAATAATCACATACAAAATGATTAAATACAGTAATTTTAACCTTTCTTCCGAATGAACAATTTAACAATCAAGTATAGCCTCAAACACTTATCCCAGATTCGGTTTGATAAAACAATTTGGAATTCTTTAAGTTGTAACATGGTAGAGAGATAAACACATACATATACATTTCCATGATTCAATTTTAAGGTTTTCTTAAGTTCCATATTAACATACATATTTCACAATAAACATATGAATAATAATCTTACACTAATCTTGGAAATTAACTCCTTAATAAATATGTACATATTACTAAATAAAAAGACATCTTCTGATGCAACTAGGTCTCACTTGAACTTAACTGGTCAATCTCAGTCAGCCCATAAAGTTTTAAGAACAATTATACCCATACAGCAATTTAAAATTATGTACACACATTTCTTCTTTTACACACCTCTAAACAATTATAAATTTAGTAGACAGTCTGTTTTGTTTCCTTTACAGTCCATGGGCCATTTTAACAATAAAATGCGACCATGCCCCAAATCAAGCTTTTTTTTTTAAGCTACCACTATTACTGACTTAGTACGATGGATTCTTTATAAAAAGTTTTCAGCTTTCCCTTGCAAGTTTTTCAGCAATTCACATGGAAGGAAGTCTATTCTTTTAAAGCAGCCCCTTTTTTTCTTCAACTAGCATCCCACGGCTCAAAAACGCTTCCCTCATTAGGGCAATAGAAAGCAAAAAGATCTTTTATTCACATCCTATTTATCTTTCCACCAGCATCTGCAACTCAACTGCTCATACTTCCAATTATTGGTCCATCCTGTATGGAATTCACACAACATTTAGAATTAACCCTGAAGCCAGATCTCTAAATAACAAGTTTTACCCAATTTATGCAAAAATAGTTCAATTCTTAAGCTGATATCAAATTTCTGTACAAACCCTCAAAAGGTAATGTTGTATACCTTAATCTCAATAATAAAATTATAATAAACATGATTTTACTTTTTTATGCTAAAAAATGCATATACAACATCGTTTTTGACACTTACTTAAACTCTTTATTTTGATATTTGTGATCGTTCTGACCAAAGATAGCTTTTCTTTTATACATATTAAGTCATATATACTTTACTAAATATAATTCTTTCCTAGTGGCAACAATTATTACAAAAAAAAAAATGAAAGGACAAATAAATATAATTTCCAGTAGTTTTGCAAAAAGTCTGGTTGAAAAAATGGTTATCAGAAGATTGAAAACAACTACAAGAAATTAGAAGCCTTCTGGCAATACAGATTTCACAATGCATCAGCTTAAAGTGAATTTCAATAATAATTCACTTATAAAGCTTTCAAGTGGAAAAAGTAAAAGTGAAAAAAATCAGTTTGACATTAGTAAAATTAATTGTATTATATACTGATGAGCCAAAACATTATGATCTTCCCAACATTTTTCAATGAACTCATTTGGATGATGTAAAGGGCATTTGATTAAAAGGGAATGGTATTTAACTGCTACTGGAGAAGATACCGAATCATTCTTGCACTTACTTTTGTGATTGATGGGAAAGGCTGCTGATCTAAGCGAATTTAAAAGAGGGCAGATTATAATGGCACAAAGACTGGGAATAAGTATCTCCGAAACTACACAATTGGTAGGTTGTTCATGATCTGCCATTGTTAGTATTCTGCTGTTGTTAATATTCATGCAAAGCTGATAAATGACTGCGAAACCAGCAGTAGACATCAAGGTACCGAACATCCACATGTCATCAAAGAAAAAATGGCATGGAGATTGTCCCATTTGGTACAGCAAAACTGGGACCAGACATTGGCTCAGCTGACAGCCCAACATAATGCAAATCCAAATGCAAGTGTTTCAGAACATACATTGGCCATGGGACTGTGCAGCAGATGTTCCACTCATATCCCTCTGTTGACCAAGTGTCATTGCCAACTATGCCTGCAGTGGGCCCGAGAATGTTGAGCCTGGTCTGATGAATCAAGATTTCTCATTCATCACATTGATGGTTGAGTTACAGTACAACTGTCTTCAAGGCGAACATTTGCTCCCTTTCATACAACAGGTCATACACTGGCTGGTGGTGATAGTATTATGGTTTGGGGGACTTCTTATGGTCAGCTCTGTGTCAGAAAAGACCATGAAAGCTGTGGACTATCTGAACATAATTGCAGTTCAGCTGCACCTTTACATGATGTTTGTCTTTCCAAAAGGAAATGGAATCTTAGAGCAGGAGAACATCCATGTCATAAAGCTCAGATTGTGTTGGAGTGGTCCGAGGAGCATAAGGATGAATTCCAATTAATGTCCTGACTTCACAGATCTCATCCTGATAGTCATGGAGTGGTAGCTCAGAGCTCAAACACCACCATGTCGGAATATCTTGACTTTGTATGACCGCTGCTTAGATACTTGGTATAACACGTCTCCAAGCATCCATGACAAGACGACTTGCAGCTGTTTTGCAACACAAAGGTCATGCAGTGTGTTACTGAGTAGGTAGTCATAATGTTTTAACTTTTCAGTGTAAATATTTTTGCATGTAAAATAAAAAATAAAAAAATCTGAATTTTAAAATGCAACCTCTAAAAATAAAAACTATATTACACTGTTTCAAATTTCATATTAAACACATATATTAAATAAGATTGCTTTAAATAAACAAATAATCACTAAAGATTGCTTTAAATACTATTTATTGTTTTTTCAACAAAAAGCTGTGGCATGGATACAGATTACATACATGGCATCAGAAACATGTTTTAATTTACAAACATTAATAAAATTATCATAAAATATGCATATTGTTCTCAAATCTACAAACGTAATGTTATAATTTGAGAAATGAATACAAATCTTATGTTTGAGGAAATAGCATCAGCTATCGAAACTGGTTTGCCGAACTAGATGCATGATTGATTACATTATACCATAATGTAAATAAAGTTTTAAAAAAAAAAAAAAAGGAAAAGCCTTAGCGATACATGTTTCTAATGCCAAAATTGTACTTTAGCCTTAAAATAAATAGAAATAAATTAAACAAAACAGAAATAAATTTACTAACCTTTACAAGCCATAGTAGAGTTTTTAATGCCTCAATATGGTTGAGTTTTTCAACATTCATGCTCACATTAGCATGCTTTGGATTAAGCAGCAAATCCAAAACAGAAAATAAACTAGTTAAGACAGACTCTGATGTATTTTTAGCAAATGCAACAGATTTTAACAACAGAGAAAAAATTGAAGCATTTGTTATTATAGCTAAATTTTCAGGCAAATTTAATCCTTTGGGAACATTCTTATTCAGAAAATTATAATCCACAGAATTTTGAAGCAGAACCTGAAACAATATAAAAAGACAAGTAATTACTTAATGTTCAACATATGAAATAATTAAAATTGGAAGGAAATAACTCTTCATTAAAAAATTTGATGCTTTCTTGTTAAAATGGTCACTGTGTTAAATCACCAAAATTTGAAAACTTAAATGCCTAATCTGCAATAAGAAAATTTAAAATATCATCAAAGACTTATGCGGTGGCTACTTTTAGAAAGGAATACAAAAATTTCATAAGTTCATAAACATTTATGTTTCAACTCAGTTTTGTTTATTGGAACAGAAACTACGGAAACATTTTAATGCACAAAACAGGTAAGAGGAAAAACTAGACAGTATTGTTAAATTTTTAAAAGAACAGCTTCAGTAACCAAAACAGTAAAAAAGTAACATTATGAATTCTTGTTCCAGAAAAGTAATAAATATACACAAAAGTTTAAGAGATGGCATCACTTTTGAGATTTTAAAATGCTCATTTAAATTTCGGCACCTGCACATATTAAGTGCAAACACATTTGTTGCTTTAAAAACTCAATTAATATAAAATAATCATTTAACAATGAAATAATTCAACAGTGCACTCAAACCTTAATATCTGAAAAAATACTTTACTTGCATGCTAGTAGTAAAATAAAAACTAGGTAAAATACCTCAAATATTAATTTTCACTGTTGATAGTCTCTATTATTTATCAATTTTCACTGTTGATAGTATTGTAGCCACACTTAGCATAATTAAAATTATGTTAAATTCAACTACTTCAAAAGAAAAAAAAGAAAAACAAAAACAAAACAACCAAAAAAAAAAGAAAAAAAAAAAAAAACCAGTCACTAATAACATAAAAAAGTAGTCCCTTTTAAAAATTTTTTACTAAAATAAAATACATACAAGATTATCTACCTCTATCACTATTTGAAAACTGCAAATACTTCAAATTAAAATTCAATTAAAATATTTCATCTAAGTTACTATCTGTTTTAACTTTTAAAAAATCATAATGCCACTTTAACATTCTTTGTTTTCCTACTAGATGGATCTACCTGCTCCCACCCACTTAAAAAAGGTAGGGTACAAGAAAATGTTCCAGTTCATGAATTACACGCAATTACATATTAAGGAAGGAAGTCCTTATAAATACAGTCAAAAGTCGTTAATCCGGACTCCTAGATTCCAAATTATCGATTTTTCCGGATTATAGATCATCAGTTTAAATCAAATAAGATGGCATGCAGAAATTCTAAAATTAAAAATATGAAACCGTAATTTATGAAATAAAAAACAATTATGATCTAAAAGGGTATCAAAATTTTCAAAAAAAAAAAAAAGCTTAATATTTATTTGTTTACTTTATAAAACATGTTCTTTTGCGAAATTTTTCCTCTTAATTCCTATAAACAGACATAATTTTTTTGTTCATTACAAGTTCCGCTGTTCAAGTCCGTTAATTGCTGTGCCGAGAATACCGACTAACTTGTCAATCGAAATTTTTTCGTTTTCATTAACCTCTCTGTCACATTCCTCATGTCTTTATCCATTTTTTGCAGCAATTCCAATTTTTGTTTGATGGACATCGAAACATACTTTCGTTTTGTACGATCCTTTGGGAGCTCCAGAATCAAAAATTCTATTTGACATAACAGTCTGCAAAAAATAATAAGCCAGATCCAATTCGAAAATTAAGGAACAACGCAATCATCACAACACTGAAATAGATAATTAGAATTTTAGCTTACACACGTCTGTTTATACATAAAACGCGCCCCCGTGAAAACGTATTCTGCACTTGCGCACACGCAAATGTGCAGTCGTAAGAGGTCTTACGTGCACGCGTAAACGCCTATGCACATGTGTCAACGCGGAGCATGCGCAGAAAGTTTTTAGCTTTGAGGTCCAGATTATAGATCATTCCGAATTATGGGTGTCCAAATTAACGACTTTTGACTGTACAATCATTCTGCTGCTTCTGATCACTACTAACAGAAGATCAAGGCAATATATATCATATTAACTGATGTAAGAAAAGGAAAATATAGGCCTTTGTTATGCAAAAGAAAACTAAGGTGTGAACTTCATAAAGTTGCTATAAAATGAAACATAAGCTGCTAAAATATTTGCCATGTGCAACAGAAAAAGTTAAATATCTTAAATCATATACTTTCATTACCCATATAAAAGTATAAAAATATTATATGTACTTCTTAATAATTTGCATAATTTATTTTTATGATATATCTGCTTGATATATTTATAATAATATCTGATAATGTAATATATCTAAGCTATTTCTAATGGCATGTGCTATGCACCTAGTTAGAATAACCATTTGTCCTCTTCTACCAAGTATGTTTGCTACATTTTTAGAGTATAGTCTGTCATACATAGGTTTATATGAAAAATATTACATTATATTATATATCCAACAAAAAAATTTGCTAATTATAATTAAATACTACATTTTTTTTACATATCTTTAATACAATACAATGTATATTCAACTTTTCTTTAAAAAATTCAATACAAGAGAAAGTGTGGCATTTATAAAAAAGTTAATGAATAATTCAAAATTTTTATACAAACCTCAAATAGGTCACAGGTTATCACACATCTGCTGTTAGTAATCATCTGAGTTAAAAGTTCAAAACCTTTAATTCGAATGAAATCTTCAGCAAAAAATGTATGTTTACTTAATAGCTTCAGAAGAATATTAAGAGCAGGAGGAATATCTCTTTCACATTTACTGTTTTCTAGTACCTATATAAAAAACCTATGTTAATTATCAAATACATCCAGTTCTATAAACATGAAGAATAAAAAATGTAAATTACAACATTCATATACACAAAGTTAGATTTACATTAGAAAGCTCTCAATAATATGGCTTGTTAATTGCACTACAATCTACAAATTTGCGCAAATTTTGTGTTGTTTAGGGAATTTTGTATTTTAATTGCATTTACATTTTGTATTTTTTAATTTCATTTTTCTTATCAGTTATATTTCAATTACCCTCAATTTTAAAAAATTAAATTTAACCTAATTTATGATACTACTTAACATATGTCATCTGTTTTTTATAAACTGAAATTTATTTTTTGCATTACTATCAAATACTTGTTGAAATCCAAAGAATTGAAAACTGTACAAATAAAATTAGGAAATTTTTTAGAAGTATAAATCATTACACAAAGTTTCTTTTTCTAGGGGGTGTATATAAACAAATATTTTAAATAGAAACAAAGAATAAGTATCTTAAATAAAAATAATGATTTCCAGAAAAGGAATAAACAAATATTTTAAATAGAAACAAAGAATAAGTATCTTAAATAAAAATAATGATTTCCAGAAAAGGAATATCAGTTTAATGGCTACGAAGAATGTATACTTACATATGCAAAAAGAAACAGAAACACTGAGATCCCACCAGAGCGCTCAACAGCATATCTAAATCCATGGTATTCAAATTGTTGGATATCCACCAAAGATAAAACCGATAATTCTATGGGTTGCACTTGATATGACCAGTATTGTGGAGTAGAAGTTCTAAAATTATTTTTAATTTAAATTTGGGCATGGATGTTAAAATTATTTAATTATAATTAAGAAAGAAAATGCATTGATCCTGTTTAAACACAAAAATGAATCAATAAATAGCAACAAAGATTTTTTTTTAAACAAATAGTAATTTTTTAATTAAATCTCTTATTTTAGTTACCTTGTGTTTCCACTGGCAGGAAATGCAGTTCGTAGAGGGAAGAATCCCCATGAGATTGATGGGTATACCAAATAAACATCAGCCCTTTCAGCTGAATAACTACAGATTAAGGATTTCTAGAGAAGAAAAAGGGATTATTTGTTAGCCTCATGTATAGAAGATTACACTAAGAACCACACAATTTTATAATCTTCATGCTTGCAATTTATTCTTACATGGCATTAATAATGTAGAAGTCAGGTTATTTTCCCCATAAAAGCTAGAAAAGATTTTAACTCAAGAGTGGAAATGCGGGGAGGGGGGGATATCATCATAATCAATAAAGCAGATTAGTGGCTTTAGTCTTTCGGATTCATAGAACATATTCATGATTACGAGTGTGATGGGTACTACTTACTTTCTCAAAACAAATTTATACATGGGCTTAATTAATAGGCAGTTAAAAATTTCAGTTGAAAAATGCTTCAGCTGTACTGCGGCAGATGAACAATTTGCAAAAGAATTCACAGAATTCATTAATAATCTCTAGAAAAAATTTATAATATCAACAAAACTGATACTTTCAGCAATATGAGCTCCAAAACAACTTGGTGACCTCTGCTGAAAAGGCCCCAACAAGTATCAAAGACAATCAAAATCGTAAAAAACAACCTTGTATTTAGTGTAGGTATAATGAAACACTCAATCGGTTTCGAGGGCAGCTAAAGGTCCCTCCTCATCAGGAGAAAGAAATACATAGAAAGAAGAAAAAAGGAGAAGGAGTCACAGAAACACGTGGTCCTTATCAACACTGCACGTGGTTATAACTAGATTTTTAATCAGAGTTGCACTGGCCGCCTACTTTTACTGAGCCAGGTTATCTGATCAAGCATAAAGAAATATTAGCGAAGTTAAAATAGGGAGCGAGGGGCAAATGCACCTTACGCTCAAAATCTGAACTTCAAATAATGGAAAGCAACCACTGAACGGATTTTTTATACCCTCTGGTAGTACCAAGTGCGAGGAGGTAACGCCATCTATCGGCAAAAATAATTGAATTAAGATAGTAGAATTTTAAAGGCATTAGGAAGGACTGGATTGGACTTCAAATCATTAACTAAACTTTCTAAATCTTTGTGAATGTGAAAAGCCTCAAGAAAATCCAATTCGCCTATGGAAGAAGCCTTTTGGATGATTTTTGCAGACCCAAAATCAAAATTATGGTTAAAAGTCCAGCTATGATACGCTATTGAAGACTTGTTAATTTCGCCTTTTTTGACATAAGATTCATGTTCCTTGATACGAAACTTCAACGCTCGCTTTTTGTTTGGCCAATATATCTTAAACCACACTGACATGATATACTATAAATTCCCCAAGAATTCAAGACAGAAACGCAATCTTTTAGAATCGAAGGGTGAATTTTATTAATAGGGGAGAAACCGACTTGAAAATTGAATTTCTGGAGAATCCGTGCAATTTTATAGCTAACAGAAGGATAAAATGGAAGCACGACAAGGTCATTAATATTATTTCTAACAGTGGAATGTCTTCTTTGATGGGAATCTGAAAATTTTTTGACGGCTTTATCAATAATCACGGGAGAAAATCCACGGTCAATCGCAACTGCTCTCAAATAATTAAGTTCATTGGTAAGCAAAGATTCAGAGGAACAAACTTTTAGCGCGCGGAAAACATAATAGTAAAAAGAAGCCATTTTTTGCTTAACAGGGTGGCATGACTTGGCATGGGGTGGTAAACAAACTGCAAAGGGTTTACGGTACACAGTGGTGCTAAAATCGGTTTCATTGCGGATTATAAGAATATCGAGGAAGGGGAGGGAATTGTTGGATTCAATTTCAAGAGTGAATTGGATGGCTGGATCAATTGAATTCATAATAGATAGAATCTCGGATAAATCCTCTTTATAACCGTCAAAAAGTGCGAAAGTGTCGTCAACATACCGAATCCAAAGACGAAAAGATAATTTATCAAATAATTTCATCTCAAAATAGTGCATATAAATGTCAGCAAGTACCGGACTGAGAGGATTACCCATAGCCAATCCTTCAACTTGACGAAAATATGCATTTTGGAAAACAAAGTGGGTTTGACTTAGAGAAACTTTAGTAAGCGAAACCAACTCATTAATTTCAGTATGTGTGAAGTGAAATTCCCGAAGCCTAGTTTCAAGACAATTTAGTGCTCCTTCGACCGGAACATTAGTAAACAATGATTTGACATCAAATGAAACCATAATGGAACGAAGTGGGGAAATATTTTTAAGTTTATCAATGTTTGTCACTTCAACAGAATTTTTCATACAGTTTTTAACAGTTTTTTACAGTGTGAATATTGTTATCAAGTAGAGGAGAAAATCTGGAAACTAAATATTTGGCCAAAGGATATGAAGCAGTACCTATGTTGGAAACAATTGGTCGAAAAGGAATACCGGTTTTGTGGACTTTTGGAAGAGCATAAAGTCTAGCGCAATTAGTAATAGGCGGAATAAGTGATTTCTTCAACTGAGTTGGCAGAATGTGGGAAGATTTAATAGCACTTTTTACTTTCATGAGGTCCGAAGTTGAAGGATCTTTAGGGATCGAGCAGTATGGGCCTTCATTTATCAATTTAGAGACTCCAGTAATATATGTGTGTTTGTCCATAACAACGATCTGTCCGCCCTTATCAGCTTTAGAGATAATGATATTAGTATCAGAATGAATTTCACGTAAGATCTCATTTTCCTTTTTGCTAAGATTAGAACCCAAAGATTTATTGTTAAAATTAACGTTATGAGTAATTAGGTGGCGGATTGTATCCTTCTGCGTTTCCGAAATTTTGGAGAATTTAAAGGCTTTCTCTATAGGGGCGATGATTTGAGGAATTGAAGGTTTAGATGTCTTTGAAAAGTTGAAATTATATTTTAATACTTTTAACTGATCCTCCGAAAGATTCCTATTGGAGATATTAACGATGGAGTTAACGTTTACAGTGGGAAGATCAGCTAGATAATTGGGACTATCCGACTGGTGTGTGAGTTTTTGGAATTTAGAAATGAGCACATTTTTATGCCGTTGACAAACGGTATCGGTTCTAGACCAGGATGTATGTTCAAATGAGGAAATATTTTCAGTGGAATTAGCAAGTTTTAAATGGAGGTAATATAATTCAAATTCAATTTTAGATAAACGTTTGCGTGTGTCCCTTATAATGTGATGAAGAAGTGCCAATTTGAATTTATGCAAAATTTTTGAAACGTGAACGGAAGCTTTAAGGCTACATTTCACATGTATAAATTTGAGAATGAAATTTTGATGTTTGCATTTAATACAGTTACTTCCTCATTTGAACATACATCTTGGTCTAGAACCAATACCGTTTGTCAACGGCATAAAAATGTGCTCATTTCTAAATTCCTTAAACTCATACACCAGTCGGATAGTCCCAACTATGTAGCTGATCTTTCCACTGTAAACGTTAACCCCATCGTTAATATCTCCAATAGGAATCTTTCAGAGGATCAGTTAAAAGTATTAAAATATAATTTCAACTTTTCAAAGACATCTAAACCTTCAATTCCTCAAATCATCGCCCCTATAGAGAAAGCCTTTAAATTCTCCAAAATTTCGGAAACGCAGAAGGATACAATCCGCCACCTAATTACTCATAACGTTAATTTTAACAATAAATCTTTGGGTTCTAATCTTAGCAAAAAGGAAAATGAGATCTTACGTGAAATTCATTCTGATACTAATATCATTATCTCTAAAGCTGATAAGGGCGGACAGATCGTTGTTATGGACAAACACACATATATTACTGGAGTCTCTAAATTGATAAATGAAGGCCCATACTGCTCGATCCCTAAAGATCCTTCAACTTCGGACCTCATGAAAGTAAAAAGTGCTATTAAATCTTCCCACATTCTGCCAACTCAGTTGAAGAAATCACTTATTCCGCCTATTACTAATTGCGCTAGACTTTATGCTCTTCCAAAAGTCCACAAAACCGGTATTCCTTTTCGACCAATTGTTTCCAACATAGGTACTGCTTCATATCCTTTGGCCAAATATTTAGTTTCCAGATTTTCTCCTCTACTTGATAACAATATTCACACTGTAAAAAATTCTGTTGAAGTCATTGATAAACTTAAAAATATTTCCCCACTTCGTTCCATTATGGTTTCATTTGATGTCAAATCATTGTTTACTAATGTTCCGGTCGAAGGAGCACTAAATTGTCTTGAAACTAGGCTTCGGGAATTTCACTTCACACATACTGAAATTAATGAGTTGGTTTCGCTTACTAAAGTTTCTCTAAGTCAAACCCACTTTGTTTTCCAAAATGCATATTTTCGTCAAGTTGAAGGATTGGCTATGGGTAATCCTCTCAGTCCGGTACTTGCTGACATTTATATGCACTATTTTGAGATGAAATTATTTGATAAATTATCTTTTCGTCTTTGGATTCGGTATGTTTGACGACACTTTCGCACTTTTTGACGGTTATAAAGAGGATTTATCCGAGATTCTATCTATTATGAATTCAATTGATCCAGCCATCCAATTCACTCTTGAAATTGAATCCAACAATTCCCTCCCCTTCCTCGATATTCTTATAATCCGCAATGAAACCGATTTTAGCACCACTGTGTACCGTAAACCCTTTGCAGTTTGTTTACCACCCCATGCCAAGTCATGCCACCCTGTTAAGCAAAAAATGGCTTCTTTTTACTATTATGTTTTCCGCGCGCTAAAAGTTTGTTCCTCTGAATCTTTGCTTACCAATGAACTTAATTATTTGAGAGCAGTTGCGATTGACCGTGGATTTTCTCCCGTGATTATTGATAAAGCCGTTAAAAAATTTTCAGATTCCCATCAAAGAAGACATTCCACTGTTAAAAATAATATTAATGACCTTGTCGTGCTTCCATTTTATCCTTCTGTTAGCTATAAAATTGCACGGATTCTCCAGAAATTCAATTTTCAAGTCGGTTTCTCCCCTATTAATAAAATTCACCCTTCGATTCTAAAAGATTGCGTTTCTGTCTTGAATTCTTGGGGAATTTATAGTATATCATGTCAGTGTGGTTTAAGATATATTGGCCAAACAAAAAGAGCGTTGAAGTTTTCGTATCAAGGAACATGAATCTTATGTCAAAAAAGGCGAAATTAACAAGTCTTCAATAGCGTATCATAGTTGGACTTTTAACCATAATTTTGATTTTGGGTCTGCAAAAATCATCCAAAAGGCTTCTTCCATAGGTGAATTGGATTTTCTTGAGGCTTTTCACATTCACAAAGATTTAGCAAAGTTTAGTTAATGATTTGAAGTCCAATCCAGTCCTTCCTAATGCCTTTAAAATTCTACTATCTTAATTCAGTTATTTTTGCCGATAGATGGCGTTACCTTCCTCGCACTTTGGTACTACCAGAGGGTATAAAAATCCGTTCAGTGGTTGCTTTCCATTATTTGAAGTTCAGATTTTGAGCGTAAGGTGCATTTGCCCCTCGCTCCCTATTTTAACTTCGCTAATATTTCTTTATGCTTGATCAGACACCTTGGCCCAGTAAAAGTAGGCGGCCAGTGCAACTCTGATTAAAAATCTAGTTATAACCACGTGCAGTGCTGATAAGGACCACGTGTTTCTGTGACTCCTTCTCTTATTTTCTTCTTTCTATGTATTTCTTTCTCCTGATGAGGAGGGACCTTTAGCTGCCCTCGAAATCGATTGAGTGTTTCATTATACCTACGCTAAATACAAGGTTGTTTTTTACGATTTTGATTGTCACATTAGCGTGTTTCTCTTCTAGTCAAGTATCAAAGAATCTGATGTGAGCCTAATAATTTCTGCATGTGTAAATGCTACAGGAATATACAAATATAAAATTTTCATAATTATAAAAAATACATGACTCTGGGCATTTAAATTAGTGAAGATTTTCCCTGTCACCTATAGTGCAAATAAAATAGTGTGGATAATACATACATTAATGAACAATTGATTTGAAAATCATTCCACACCCGAAGCTTGGCAACATTTGAAATTAGTTGATTTACCAGATGACACAAAAATTTCCTGATTATATACAACTGTTTGCCTCATACTTCTGTTAAATATTTGCATAATCGCCTGTAGTAATGGCAACCGCTGTCAATAAAAGGAGGTGCTTTCCTTAGTGGCACCGCAGTTCATTTTAGTTCGAGCCAGAATAGACCTGCCCGAGGGAGAAGCCAGGGAATGATAGATTCCGGTTCCCGTCCTGTTCCTGTCTTGTTCTGGATCCAGTCCAGTTCCAGTCTGGCTGTTTAAGTCCAAAACACGTAGGAGCGAAAGTATGAATCCAGCGAATGGAGATATATGCCGAAAGGGCTAGATGGATTTTGTCTTTTAAAAGAAAGTGTTCTTCACCGTGCCGGCATAGCTGTTACTTTAAAGCACTTTGAATGTTTTTCACCTAAGATCTTAAGTTCTTGTTTATGATGTTAAGTTTACATCATTTTTGAAGTTGCAGTTGAATAAACCTTTAAGTTTTAAACAAGGTTTTTGTGTTCTTCAGAAAATTTTAGATTCAAAGTCAGATATATCACATAGGATTTAGCGGAAAAATCAACACTTCCTTTAGTGCTTTAGTAAAAGATAACATCTCTGTTTTTATTCTTTGCTGCAAACTGTACATCTATCATTCAGAGAATGAATATCAGAGTGCCGCATGGGCTGAAATGTAGATACAAAGCTACCTTTTTTAAATACTTGTATATGCTGAATTTTCTGAACAATGGCAAGACCATTCAAGAATTTAAAAAATATTTTAACATAAAATCTATTATATTCAACATTGCAAGGTCATGGGAGGATGCGTCTGTAGACATTTTTAAAAACGCTTAGCACAGTTTATAGCCAGTTATCATACCATATTTCATAGTACTGTTAATGATTATATCTGCAGATTTGAAGGTTTGGGGATATTAAAAGCAAAAGGCAAAAATTTTTAATTAATGTAATTTGTGAAGAACTAAAAAATAAATGAAGCTGATACAACAGAAGCTTTCCATAATGATGACAATGCCCCAATCATGAATCAACCAATGGACCTTGAAATCTGTAGTGTGGTTTCAAATCCAAAAAATATCACTACCAAAAGTAAAGCAAATGACAAAAAAAATCATTGGTAATGGAAAAATTTCAATTGACAATTTAGAGCTGAATTTTCATCACAGCAATTACAAAACTTGCACAATGGGACACTCTAATCAAATATAATAAAATATTAGCCCACCCCCAAAAGTGAAAGAACTTGAACAAATATAACTTACCTAGAAATATTTTCAAATAAATCAAAGATTAGATGATCTTTGGCCCTATATTCATTCATCAGAGCAAAAAATCATCTTACTTTTAACTTACTATATATCTCATACTATTACCTCATAACTTGAAGAAAAACATTTCCATGGTAAATATTAATCAAGATTTTCAATAAAATATTTCAATTCCAAATTTATTACTTGTACAGTACAAAGTCCAAAATCTGGATGTCATTATCGGGAATGATCTAAAATCCGTACTTCAAAACAACCAACAATGTTTGTTCTCATAGGCTTTATTCAGAACTCTGATAAGCCTTAAGCACGTGCAAGAAATAGACAAGTGTAATAAATAACTAATACAATTCATGCTTAATTGTCTCAGTGTGCGATTGAAGCAAGATAAAATTTAACATAACAACTTGGTCGTTAGTCGCCAAGATCATGATGCATAGCCAAATATGTATAGTGAAGGATAGCTAAATTTGATGATGATAGCCGCAAATTTTAAAGGTTTTCGGATATCGCAAAACAAAAGGTGAAATTTTCCAATTAATGGATTTTGTAAAGAAATATGGAGAAGCAGTAATAAATGAAGAAAGATATAAAAAAAGTTTTTCATTTTGATGACAATGCTATTCAATCATCAATCAATTAATGAATGGCGAAATTTGTAGTAGGGTTCTAGATCCAGAAAATACCGCTACCGATAGTGAAGAAAGTGACAGAGAAGTTACTAAAATGAGAAAATTTTGGTTGACAAGTTAGTCGGAATTCTCGAAACAGCAGTTACAGGACTTCAACAATATAACTCAACATGAAATTATGCCTGTCTACAGAATTAAAGAGAAAGTATTATCACAAAAATCAAAGCAACTTAAATAACTTACATTGAAAGAAATGTCTAATAAGGTAAACAAATAAATATTAAGCTTCTTTTTTTATACATTTTGATACCCTTTACATCATAAATACTTCATTAATTCATAAATCATTATTTCATATTTTTAATTTTATAATTTCTACATGCCATCTTACTAGATTTAAGCTGATGATCTAATATCCAGAAAAATCCCAAATCCGGAATCACTGAAGTCCCGATGAGTCCGGATTTCGGACTTTGTATTGTACTTCTCTGTTGACTTACGTAGATTTATGTGTGCATTTTTGAAAATTTAAGCAAAAACTGATCAACTATTATTAAAACAGAGGCAGAAACATAGACAAGGATCATAAGAAACAATGATACCAATAGGCATACAGCTGGAATCCCTGATGTACAAAATATATGCTAACACTATTTTTTTATCACTGAAATATAATATTCTTATGTTTCCTCCTGTTTCAAATTCTCATTTCAACTAAATTTTATTTCTAGTCTCAGCTGAGGTCTTCAGCTTTTAAAACTTTATATTATTACAGATTTCTGACTTCTGTCACTAGCTTTTTAACAAATTGCCTATTTAACTGCAAATTAATATTAAATGAAACATAAAAAATAATATTAATACTACAACATTGAAAATGAAGCATATAAGTTTCAACATAAAAATTTTGACAGAAAGAGATTTTCAAATTTAAAAGCAAATGAATGAATTATAAAGCTTCAAAGAGAAAGATACTTAACAATAATTTAAGCTAATAAGTACACAACAAACACAGAGGAAGATAAAAAATAGATTTAAGAGTCACCTGAAGACTATCTAAGGAAGGAGTTCTTATACCAGCTAACACATCTGCACTTATTACAGGCATTATACTGTGAGAGGTCCTTGTTTTTGGAACAAATGAGCTTCTTTTTTGAATAGCGCAATCAGTAATACCAGTTACATCAGGACCAAGACAAGCTAAGTAGAAAACTGCATCTCGATTTAAAATAGTTTCTAAAAGAGAAAAATTAAATTTGCAATGCCAGTAAGAAAATTATCAATAATGTAACTAACTTTCATAAATATTACATATTGTAAATCTAAGTTTAATGAATAAGAAGCAATCACACACAATTCAATACAAAGATAACAGAAACAGTTTCCATATTTAATATTAACAGAAAACTGAAATTCTTAAAGAAAAATCTACCACTTCAAACATCATGTGTAATGGATATTTTCTGAAATCTCCATGATTGAATCTAACAATTTATTGAAATTAAGAAAATTGAGATTTAACTTGAAAATACATATTTTAGCAAAGATAATAAAAAATATTTCAGTATTAGCTATTAAAATAATTAAGAACTTTCTTTAATTTGATAAGTAACAATGATGACTGATAACCTATATAAGCTGCAAAGCATCAGATGCTTCTATGCATGAATGTAAATTAAGATAGGAGTGTTTTTAATACAGTTTTAAAAACCTGAGCTGAAAAATATTTTAATACGAATTTCTCATGCTTATATTATACAAATTTCACATCAAATGAATTAAAAAATGAAATGATAAATGGTAATAAACCCAGTGGTATAACATGTAATTTATTTTTCTGTTGCAATGCCTTTTTAATCAAAGTTCCCAGTTATACAACATAGGTATGACTGAATGATGGTTGGATAGCACAGAAATATGAAAAATTAGCTATTAGTGCAGAGATTATGGGGGGGACTTGCATTTTATCCTAAACTTGGTGCTTTACTGCACTTTGAAATCAGAGCATAACTTTATATTGACAATAGTAAAATTATTTCATCGGGAAATAAATATAACAATAAACAACACCCTTTTCACAAATATTAAAACAGAAAAGAAAAATATCGTATGGGATGTTAAAGGAAGTGATAATATGTGCTCCATAAAGTTTGACAAGTTATGTTATAAAAAAACTAGTTGATGAAGTCTTTTTTTTAGCTTTACCGCTCTTAATTATAGTTAGATTAGATATCTTCAAAGCAGCAATGAAGTGCAAATGTCAATTTTTTAACACAGTCCAGAAATGTCACAGAATAGACGACAGCTAATGCAGTACAATTAATAACAGCAACATAAAAAATGCAAATGATTAATACACATGGACTACTATAATCTTGACAATAAAATCTTATGGTTGCTGTTTTCAGAACAGATTGATTCATTTGGAGAACACATTTGAAGTAACACAAGCAGTATAATAAAAACAATAACTTTTAAGTAACATTTCCTTGGCATGTCTGATAACTGGGGCTTTATGGCTCTCAATTACTATAATATGTACAATTTCACTCATTACAGCAAATTAACAGCAAATTTAAAATCAACAAAAATATTAACCTTCAAAACAAACAAAATAGTTTTCCTGACTTATTTTACATTAAAAATTTTAAAAAATATTTCAATTTCATACCATAAAAATTTTGGCATTCAAATAATAACATAAAAAAGAATAAAGGGGGGAAGGGGGTTTTGAATCATATACTTCAATTTTTTCATTGTAAATTAAATTATATCAAAATTTTCTTACTTTGAATGGATATAAAAATGAAACAAAATACAGTCAAAATTCTTTAATCCGGACATCCATAATCCGGATCTTAAAGCTACAAACTTTCTGCACATGCGCATATGCGTTTACGCATGCACGTTTAATGTATAATGGAAGGTATAAGCTAAGCTAAAATGATCTAATTATCTATTTCAGTTAATGTTGCAGATTGCGCTGTTCCTTAATCTTCAAATTGGATCCGGCTTATTATTTTTTACAGACTGTTAGAGCAATTTTACAAAAGTAAGCTTGAACTTTCAATTATGTCAAATAGAATTTCCGATGCTGGATAGAGCCAAAGGATCTACAAAGCGAAAGCATGGTTCGATGTCCATTAAACAAAAAGTGGAATTGCTGCAAAAAATGGATAAAGGCATATCCTTTGTTTTTCTAACCATTCCGAAATCTGTTTATCAATTTCATGCTGCTCTGTGGGGGAGGGGGGGCGTTGCGGCGCTCAATGAACTAGAAGTTGATCTGTCAGCACTAGCCTTATCTTCAGGGCAGATGTTTTTATTTGATTTGGCTTTTAATTCCTTACTAAATGTAGTATTTCATCTTGATGTACTCCGTCTCTGATATGATTTAAATCAAATTCCTCGTCATTATAAGTATCATGAATACACATCAAATAGTTTTCTGGTTGCAGTTTTCTAATTTCGACTATGCGTAATGTATGTTTTACATTGAAAAGTTTTACATTGAGTGCATTGAAAGAAATGTTTAATAAAGTAAACAAATGTTAAGCCTTTTTTTTTTTCTTTTTTGTAAATTTTGATATTCTTCAGTTCTTTATTTCATAAATAACGGTTTCATATTTTTAATTTTATAATTTCTGCATGCCATCTTACCAGATTTAAATTGGTGATCTATAATTCGGAAAAAGTGATCTCAAGTACAACTCATTCTGTCAGCCATTTATTAAAAATAGTAACGATGTCCTATTAATGCTGTGGTTTCGAATTTAGGAATGTCTTAAGGCAGACAGCTATCTAATCAATTTAGGTTGTCTTCATAAAGGACTTTATAAGGAATACTAGCACATATAATCAAGAAAATCCTGTTAGCCAACTCTTTCAAACAGCTGATGCACAACTTAAAATTATCTACCAGTGCTGGGTTGCTTATAAGAAAATCAAATGAATTTGTTCGTCATAAAGAACCAAATAACGGAATGAAAAAAATTGCATTCTAAATATTTAATGCAAATAATATGAAAAAGCATACACATTTTTACATTACTCCAAGATTTAGAGAAATGGAAGAAGTTTTGTAAAGTAAACCCTTTTCTTAAAAATTCTGTTTTAAAATCTATTTGTTTATTTATTTGAAATTTTTTGCTTAAGACCTACTAACAGTAAAAATTAACTTATTTCTCGAAACCCTTCATTTACAGAGTGTCGGCCACCAAGTTACTTATATACTGTTGCATTTTTCTTTCTTCTGAGACCAGTTGTTACGTTATTTTCTTCCTTCACGTTCGTATGGGGTTTGTGTGGATTTGGAGTGAATAATGATGACACTTGATGAAGTATCGAAACACACTTTATTAGCTGGTATTGTCAGGACAGCTCCAAAACACGTTTTACAGTCGTCCATGAACTACTATAAACACGCTGACACGATCAGCGACACAGCCTTCAGGTTATCGGGCTATTACGGTGAAGACAGCTTCACAGCAAAGCACTAGAGTACAGGTGCCGACTCTGCTTGGTCGTTCTCGGAACTCCACGTACTCTCGAGACTCTCCACACTACAACTCGCGATGCACTCGATGACACACAGAGCACAGCTCCTGACTCTGCTTGGTCGCTCTCAAATCCACGTCTTCGAGACTCTCCACACTACAACTCGCGATGCACTCGATGACACACAGAGCACAGCTCCTGACTCTGCTTGGTCGCTCTCAAAACTCTACGTACTCTCGAGACTCTCCACGGTACAACTCGCGATGCACTCGACGACACACAAAGCATACCTCCCGACTCTTCAGTTCAGTCGTTCCCGGAGCTCAACACGCTCTCTCGACAATGCACTGACCGCAATACACTAAGAGACTCTTTGATGCACTATGCGAAGCAAACACTCTCACCCTCTCGACGAGGCATACTAACTGACTGCGGACCAGCAGGGTTTATATAGCTTTCGGCTTGTGTTCGAGAACATTCTGGGCTAAACTGATAAGAATTCATTCCAGAAGATTCTACATTTGTCCATGGCATATCACCAGTTTTGTCGCCAAATGGACGATTTCTCGCCAAATGTGGCAACCCTGCCTTCCCTTGCAACTCTAAACATGCTTTGTGGGGAAGCTATCCCACCACGCCTGTACATTTCATAACAATACCTTAATTTTGAAAAATGTAAGCTTAGGCACAACTACAGGAATTGTCTCTATCATTAGATTACAAGCACATTTCTTCTAAAATCTTATACTTTTAGAATTTAAATTTTTAGTAGATTTTATGTTGCAAACCACTGTATACTACAAAAAATAATTATTTTTAATTCTTTATCTATGAGATGTTTTAAAATGCTGTTATCAAAATCAAAGGCTCTGTATAGCTTTAATGATGATATACATCTGAAAAATTTCAGAAATTTAGCATGATACCATTTACTTATTTGAATACTGTATTCACGTTTCGGATTTCTGCTACTAAAGGGGAAAAGACAGAATTCAGAACATTGCATTAATCTCTCTTTCTTCTTAAAAAGCACAGAACTTACCTTTGAAAAGCATGAAGCTTCCAAATAAATATGAAGGGTGCTCAGGAGTTTTTTCTATATAAGGTTCAATATGTCCTAGTAAGACATAACATTGCTTGTTTATTTTTGGTCCCAAGCGTTTATATTTTAGGTAGCAAATTTTTTCTCTTGTTCCATCTATTACGATTTGAACCTAAAAAGAAATCACAAATATTAAATTTCAAAAACTAAAGTGAATGCATATGAGATTTAAAAACATATTTTCAATGGTACTGATTGGGAGTTTATTGAGGTGTTAAGTTATCTGTTTTCATTTAAAAATTGTTTTACTTATTGTTAACCAATTTATTTTCAAGCATTTTAAAACTCTTTTTTAATAAATTAAGAGAAAAAATTTCAGTGAATTATAACTATGTTCAAAAATAAAGAAACAGAAAAAAATATTAAGATTGTTGAATGCAACCTGTTTAAAGAGATCTAAAATAATCAATAACCAAAGAAGAGATTTCACAGAGAAAAGTGCAGCTCTTACAGAAAGATAAACAGCTCAGCCCAAGGGGGGGGAGATAAAGCAAAATTCTCCTAAATGTGTAAGGAATTCCGCAGATCACCAAAATTACTCATACAGCATACTAAAGCACAAATCACCTAGTAGAAAGCTTAATAGTGTAAAACAGATCAAAAGTCTAAAGTTACAGTCTTCTACTTAGGTTCTTGAAGCTTCAGGAGAAAAAATGCATTTTCTGGAAACTTCCTGGGCTTTTCTTGGTTAGTGAGAAGTTGCTAATTATCTCTAGTGGTTATCTCTAGTACAAGGTTTCGTACCTGACCTCTGGTTCTACTTTAGCTTATCTTTAAAATTCAAATGCCAATAAAAATTCGAAATATTTATATAATACATGAAATAACATAAATGGCTACAATTTAAGATTAAACAAAATACACAATAAATAAACACACTAGCAACACTACAAAAATACATAAAAACCAAATTATAAATAAAAAATACAGATACTTCTATAAATTTATATCATCACTGAGTCTACATTTGCTTGTAATATGTCTTTTAACTAATATTAATCCGCAATATTAAATTTTCTGGATGTCAAATGATTTTTTTTTTCATTCTACCTCTACGTGACATACAGGTTGTTTTCGAAACATTCAAAGAATTTAATCCACATGAACGCTCATTACTATTAGTAGTACAGTCAAAAGTCTTTAATCTGGACTCGCCCGGACTTTGGCGATTCCGTATTATCGAATTTTCTGGATCATAGATCATCGGTTTAAATTTGGTAAGATTGCATGCAGAAATTATAAAATTAAAAATATGAAACCATAACTTATGAAATAAAGAACAATTATGATCTAAAGGGTATCAAAATTTACAAAAAAAAAAAGCTTAATATTTATTTGTTTACTTTATTAAAAATTTCTTTCAATGCACTCAATGTAAAACTTTTCAATGTAAAACATACATTACGCATAGTTGAAATTAGAAAATTGCAACCAGAAAACTATTTGATGTGTATTCATGATGCTTATAATGACGAGGAATTTGATTTAAATCATATCAAACACGGAGTACATCAAGATGAAATACTACATTTAGTAAGGAACTATAAGCTGAATAAAATAAAAACATCTGCCCTGAAGATAAGGATAGTGCTGACAGATCAACTTCCAGTTCATTGGATTGCATGCGCCCCCAAACGTCCCCCCCCCCCTCCCCCCACAGAGCAGCGTGAAATTGATAAACAGATTTCGGAATGGTTAGAGAAAACAAAGGATATGCCTTTATCCATTTTTTGCAGCAATTCCACTTTTTGTTTGATGGACATCGAAAACATGCTTTCGCTTTGTAGATCCTTTGGCAGCTCCAGCATCGGAAATTCTTTTGACATAATCGAAAGTTCAACGCTTACTTTTATAAAATTGCTCTAACAGTCTGCAAAAATAATAAGCCGGATCCAATTCGAAGATTAAGGAACAACGCAATCTGCAACATTAACTGAAATAGATATTTAGATAATTTTAGCTTGCTTATACTGTCCGTTATACATTAAATGTGCATGCGTCACACATATGCACATGTGTAAAGGTAGTACTTTGCGCATGTGTAAAAGTAAACTTCTGTGCATGCGTTGACGCATGCACAGAAAGTTTGTAGCTTTGAGATCCGGATCATGGGCATCTGGATTAATGACTTTTGACTGTAATATTATTATCAAACATTTTTCTTATTTAATTCATTCAGTTTTATCTGGTTTCTTAATTATTTCATAATGCATTCTTTTCATATGTAACTCTAGCAAATTATGTTTTATGACTAATAATTTTTAGATTGTCTAGCATATTATACTCTGTTACTTCAAAACATCTTCAGTAATTCATAAAAATGTTAATGCCCAAGGGATAGTTTTTCAGCAATATTCTAGGTACACTAGTCAGTTTATAATATAAAGTAGCATATACAGTAGCAAATTGTTTACAAAATGTATTATTGCAAACTTACCTTTTCCCACTGACATGATTCAATTTGAAAATAAATTTAATGCTATTAAAATAATGGTAGAACAGTTGCAGTTTACATTATTGAGTTCCGCTTAAATTTCATTTCTACATATTTTCCCATCTGGAGGGATTTCATGTTATCTATTTCTCTTAAAAACAGCCATTCGGCTTAAGGAAATTTTGAGCTTTTTCCATATTTTCCTCAAAATCAAGTCTTAACCCTGCAAATGCTGCTTGCAGTCGCATGTTACATTTTCCAAAGCCGCAGGATTCATAGGTACCCAATTTTTTTTTTCCAAGTGAACCATCAATTCCTTCTCCAGTTGATCATGGCAAGATAGGGGAATAACTTTGAGCCACCCTATTTAAATATCTGTCTTTTTCCATTATAACAAAAGAATTAAATTTTCAAATGAAACCTTACAAAGAAATTAACTTTCAACAGTCCTTAGGCTATTATTAGAGGGGAAACAAATTGCATTCTTCGTACACTGATATGAAAATGAGACTACAAAGACAGTCTCATTTTACATATCTATTTTTATGTAGATAATGAAAGCCCTGTTTGATTCAGAAGGGAAGTATTTTTGTCACACGAAAAGCTACATACATCTGCTTCCAGTAATTTAGATTGAAAGCTGTTGCAGCCATTATTTGCAGAGTTCCTGTTTAAATTTCTAACCTGTTATTTTATACTAATTCAGAAGTCAAACAACAAAAATCAGTGTTATATTTTCAAATTTTCACAGGACTAGTTTTCAAAAGCGTTTTCATTTACGCTTTTGCAGCTGACAATGGTGGTTCGATAAAATCATCAAAACTAGTCCTGTGAAAATTTGAAAATATAATGCTGATTTTAGTTATTTGACTTCTGAATTAGTATTTGTTCAGCGTGTTGCATCTTAACTGTTATTTTATGTTAATTTTCTGCCTTATCGCCCTCATTTCCATTTTCCTGCCAGAATGTAAATTCTAGTTCATATGATATTCAAATGAGGAAGATACAAGAGACTATTTAAAGAACGGTTTTAGAGGGTAGATTCAGATCATGTTCTGCCTGCTTGAAGGCCATATTGCTAATTTGATTCTCTTGTGAATAGTATTCTGCAGCATTGAGATATTCTCACCATTAGGCTTGTTTATGCCAAACTTAGATCAGAACCAATTTGCATGTTATTCCAGTTATGCAGTCATTAGGCTAATTTACTCTCATTAGTTTTAATTAATGCATTACCTTTGATTAAAGCCATAACCGTTGGCTTCTGTAAGAAAGAGTTGGTGTCATCTGTTAAACTTTTGAGTTAATAACAGGGTCCTTTAGACCATTTCCCAGTCTCTTAAAAGACATAGTGAAAATTCTCATTTAGTCTTTAGAGTTTTTGGTCTAGTTTAATATTACCCAAGAAGGCCAAGCTTTACAGTTTCTAATGCAGATCAGAAAACAGAAGTTCCTTGTTACAGGTGCCTATGATACATGCCCGGATTACATACATCACTCTTCACATATGAGATGGCATCATACAAAAGAAAGGCCTTTAAAGATAAAATGGAAATTCTAAAACAAGTAGATAATAACACCCAACACACACACAAACAAGAAAAAGGATCTAATATGAGTTACCATTTTCCACATTGATTATACTTACTTACAGATGCAAGAATATTGAAGAACATTTTTAATCCAATGAACTTAATGAAAAACTTTCAAGTTCAATCTGCAAAATTTGCTGAGAGTTCTTTTACAGTGGTTTAATCAGCGACAACTTTCAAATATACCAATTAAGAGAAAGATGATCACAGATTTAAAAAAAAAAAAAAAAAAAAAAAAAAAAAAAAGGATATTTGAAAAGCACTAAATTTAATTGAAAATGCATCATTTTCACAGGATATCTCCAATAGTTTAATGAATGGAGAATGTGCAGCAGTGAACTCAGAAACAATTAACTGAAAGTTTACTACACTAACTAAAAGACTATAAAAGACATTTATAATGTAGATGAGATAAGATTACAGTTTACTTTCATACAAAACATTAGCACAGAAATTCAGAATTTGCAACAGCATAAACAAATCTGGACTAGTTGTTTCTATCGTCAACTAAAATCCAATAGCTCAGAAAAACTACCTTTATCACTAAATTCTCGAAAGTTAAGATCCTACTCGCAAATTATATATATGTATATAAATGCCCATATAGCTATACCCTTATTTATGGATCAAGTAAAACTATCAGATTGTAAGATAGATGTTGGAAAATAGTGCATAATGCTACTTATTGCTACTACATTGCATCATCAAGACACTGAATTCAATTCAAAATATGAAAGTTCATTTTCCCTGCTAATTCTACATCCCTTCTAATATCTATTAGATTCATCACCAGGAACATGAAGAAATATTACAGGAGGCTCTCAGTACAGTTGTGTACAGATAATACAGAATAAGGATATCTGAAGAAAATGAGGACTGATGATTTACAAGCTATGAACTAACTATACAGTCATATTCAATATTGAATAAATTGAAATAATTTTAATATTTTATTAAAAATTTTTATTATTTTCACATAATTCTAATGATTCAAGTTTCAAATTTCTATAACCTTCCTTTCTCGGTGATCCAATTTTAATGCAGTTTCATATTACAGCATATATTCATGTGGTTGGGCAAAATGTATCATCTAAAACTAGCAGAATATGCTTTGCATTTACAGTATTCCCCTTCCTAACTATTAATGCTTACTCTGATTGTCCATACTTCTAATTTTGTTCTTGCTCACAAACACTGGATAAATTTGTGTAAAACATTGCTACATTATAAACAAGTACAGTATTATTAACATTTTCATTCTTGTTGAATGCAGATGCAGTCACAAAGGAGGCTAAAGATTTAGGCACCAGTAATGAAGAGACGAAGAAAGCATTTTTAATGTACTGCAACCTAGACTGAGAAATTCACAAGTTGCTTTTAACAGTGTAAAGTACAGAGATAATGTGAAGTGAAGCACAAAAAATGGTATTAATAACAATGAATAGCAAAATGTTTGTAAAGCAAGTCAGAAAATTTCAATTAACTATTACGATAAAATGATAAAAGAGTTAAAGTAACAAAATTTGCACATTCTGAGGATCTTTTGTCATGATATTAAAAACATTTTATGTATATTTTAATCAAGATAATAGAATAACATTTCAAATGACAAAGAATTCATATATTTTAAGTCATATATTCACGACCACAAATTCATAAACTTTATAATCAACACAATTAAAATAGAGTGTGGTTCTTCCATGGAAGCAGCTATTTTATTTGTAGCTAGGTTTCTATGAAAAAATGTTGTTAATATGATTTTTCATAGGCAACGCTTAAATTTTATTTACAGCCAAAAGTCGTTAATTCGGACACCCATAATCCGGACCTCAAAGCTACATACTTTCTGCGCATGCGTAGGCATTTACGCGTGCGTGTAAGACCTTCATGGATGCGAATATGCATGTGCGCATGCTCATAATACGTTTACGAATGCGCGTTTAATGTATAATGACGGTATAAGCTAACTAAATTATCTAATTCATTAATTGTTCGATTGCGTTATTCCTTAATATTCGAATGGTTTGGCTTATTATTTTTTGCAGACTGTTAGAGCAATTTTATAAAAGTAAGCTGAACTTTCGATTATGTCAAAAAGAATTTCTGATATAGATTTACTAATATGTAAAGGATCTACAAAGCGAAAGTATGTTCGAAGTCCATTAAACAAAAAGTGGAATTGCTGCAATAAATGGATAAAGCATATCCTTGTTTATCTAAATTTAACTTTGTTTATCTAAACTTTGTTTATCTTTAACGCAGGGGTGTGCAATGATGGAATTGATCTGTCAGCACTATCCTTATCTCAGGGCAGATGTTTTTTTATTTTATTTGGTTATAATTCCTTACTTAATGTAGTATTTTATCTCGAGTACTCCGTCTTTGATATGATTTAAATCAATTCCTCATCATTATAATTCGCTTCGGATAGCGAAGAAAGTACAGAGGTTATTGAAAAGAAAAAATTTCGATTGGCAAATTAGAGTCGGTACTCGACACAGCAATTATTGGACTGAAGAGTGGAACTTTGTAACTGAACAGAAATTATTCTGTTTTATAGAATTAAAGAGAATGTATTATCCACATAAAAAAACGAAGCAACTTAAACAACTTACATTGAAAAAAATGTTTAATAAAGTAAACAAATAAATATATAGCTTTTTTTTTGTTTTTTTTTTTTTTTTTTGTAAATTTTGATACCCTTTAGATCATAATTGTTCTTTATTTCATAAATTACGGTTTCATATTTTTAATTTCATAATTTCTGCATGCCATCTTAACAGATTTAAACTGATGATCTATAATCCGGAAAAATCGATAATCCGGAATCGCCGAAGTCCCGATGTGTCCGGATTAACGACTTTTGACTGTATATGTTTTCACAGTTTAGTTTTATTTCTGCCCCAGTAGCAATGTCTAAATAACTACTTTAATTAAAGTAAAAATACAGATTTATGTGGTGTTAATTATTTCTTTGGAAAAACTAGTAACACAAACAATGAGAAACAAAATATTTTAATTCATTTGTGATAAAAATTTATGCATGCATGCAATAATCATAAAATAATAATAATACAATTTAATACTACTAGCATTATAGCAATAATAATAACATTTTAATATTTAATTAACGGGATTGATGAGCTTAATGGAAAATTAGTAGCATTTCTGTATTAAGATTGGTTAGTGTAAATCATACATAATGCTTCAACAGTTATAATTTTCTCAAAAGCTGACATAACAACACTAAAACATCATCCCATTAAACCTGATAATAGGCATAGGGACTCGAATGCAAAGCATAATACTATTTTGTATATAATATGTTGAGCAACCCTGATCAGTACAAAGGTTAGCATTCCTGGCTCCTATATTGTTGGGCTTAGGCTTGAATCTTGGAGAAGGTTTAGAAGTGTGCAAGATCATAGTATCTGTGTAGAATAGGAACACACAAAATGAGTCAAAAGTGCTCTCGAGAACCATTATGATTGATTAAGTGGGATGCGAGACCCTCAGATCTGTCTTCCGGAGTGTTTTCCATCAAAATTGAAATGAAACTTCTTCTTTTTCTTAGATATGATTCAGTGGCCTTGTGTAGCGAACCTTCAGCAACATTCTCAATAATGAGACGAGCTAAATGACCAACAGTAGAGGTTATTCTCAACTAGTGCATTAAATTTCAAATGTCTGGTCATTTAAAACAACATATAACATATGGAAGCTATTATGTAAATCATGTCTGATCTTATGAAATTATTACTACTGTAGATTTTGAAGCTGAAAGCCCCCATCATCTCAGATTCCTAGCACTCTCCTAGGTAATTCAAATACTCCAAAGAGTCCACTTAGAGAAATGTTGCTCCAGTTTTATTCTATTTCGCTTCACTGATAATGAAACACTGCTATAAACTCTGGAATGAATCTCCAAATGAAAAAATAATAAGGATGTCTTTGAATGGTTTTAACAAATCTTGTAGGTATGAGGTTACAAAATCGTCAGCACTATAAATAAAAAATATGAAAATTTGGCCTCTGTATCTCAAATGCAATTATATTTTAGATTTTTAGTTTACTTTTCTTGTGGAAGTAATGAGAAAGAGAACCACATGTTAAAACCTCATTCAGGTTGTTTACATATTAATAATAATTAGTATAACAAAGTTTATGAAGATCCTAGGCATGTCAGTCTTAAAAAAAAATTCCAGGTACTCCTGCCCTTTTCCAGTTACGTGAATTTTACACTTGACCAATTCTACACTTAATAATAATCATTTCTTAGCAATATAGTCATGAAAAAAAATCATACAAGTCTTAAATGACATACATAAAAACTAAAAACACTTCAGAAATTTTCTTGAAAAACTATAAAAAATATATTACTTAAACAGTAACAAAAAATTATTAATCAAAAAGTGTATGAAAATGCTTTTATTTTTAATATTATCCCAGTATTTTAAACTACCCTTTGAAATTATAACGTTTTACAATACCTTACTGCTGACAACTGATTTATCAGTATCTTCAGAATAATTTATAGCAACATGATGCCAAACACAATCTTGCAGCAATGATTTGCAAACTGTTTTTGCCAGGCATGTAACTTCACCATTACTGTAACTCACCATCCTTAAATAAGAATTGAAATATATAACAATTATTCTGAATGAATACACACTTTTATTCAAAAAGTATTTTATACATTTTTCAAAGAGGAAAAAATACGCAGAAAAACTTTAGTTATCCACCTAACTAATGCATATCTTTTAAATATATGCAAGTAACTTAAAATAAATATTAGTAGATAAACCTGGGGGTGGAAAGAAACAAAAACTCTAAAGAATAAACAGGAGGAACAGTAGCATCTAATTAATGATAAATAAATCTGTTTTTAATGTATGAATATATATCAGCATTAATCAATTAAACTCTATAATTATATCAGATATTTTCCAAATTGCATGCAATCCTCCAAATAGCAGTAATAAATGCAGCTATACATAGTTAAATAAATTTACATGAATCCACATTAAATTTGTAATGAAATTTCAGAATTATAATAGAGGTTTCCAATCATTCCATGAAAATACAGCGGTTGTAATTGTAGTTTTATTTATTCTATGATGGGAAGAAAATATAGATATATATATATATATATATTTCCCAAACCTAATTGCGAAAGTTTATTACAATAATGTAAAAATTAACTGTTAATCTTGCTTCAGACTGCATGCCTATTAATCTCACTATTAAATAGATAATCTCAAAATATAAGGAATTATAATCCAAAATTTTATATACATGAAAATTTGTCTTACAAAGGGGGGAAAATTTTGTACCTGACAATAATATCTCCATAATTTTTTCCAAACCATAATTCCATTAGCAGTTTGTCAGAACCCAGTGACACAATATGATACACTTCATTTATTTCAGCTACACATGCTTCTTCATTAAAATCTGAAAATTAAAAAGAAAGGATGGAAATATTTTTGTTAAAAAAAATCACTTAGCGGAAAACAAAATACAGCATCTCTTGATACATTTAAACCTTGCATAACCTTGTAATTCACCTCATCTAAAATAATAAATGCCAAAACATAAGAAAAATATACACATTGATCACAAAATTTACGGACTGAAAATCAAAGCTTTGTTCAGAACCTTTCATAATCAAAATTAAAAAAGAATAAGAAATTTGCTTTAAAATATTGTTAGAAGTGTAATAAAAATCATGAAACTGCTTTGCAACGTTTAAAAATGTGAGAGCTATCTGGACTACTTTAACAAAATATCTGTATAATTTTCATAAGTGAATCTAAAGTATGCAAATGTAACAGGAAGAAAAGGAAACCAAATTTCAGGACAGTAGGAGCTGCATATTAGGATTCAGTAACTTCCGAGAGTCACAATTAGATTTCCTTAAAGTCACAATACCTTACTTAAATAGTTTTAAGGGCACATGAAACATAAAATGGTTCACATTTTAGAATTCCCAATTATAGTCTTAAAAAACAGAGCAAATTCAGATAATTTGATAAATATATAATTTGTACAGTTTGGAATATACAAGATCCTAAAATATGGTATTTAAAAATGTAAACAAACAGTGCCACGTACCCCTACGTAAGTTTTTGCCGATTTTCAGCATTCTTGCTCACTAAAAAGAGTAGATCTTCTTTTTACTTTACCCTATGATTCATTCCCCTTCTTTCTAGAGTGGCCAAACTTACATTTTTCTGATACATTTCTTCATTTTTTGGACAGAAAACTTTTGTGCAAATGCACACATGGTAGAACTCAGAAGCCAAATGAGGGTTTTAACCATTGTTTATAGGAACGCTTACCTAAAACTGTTTTTGTCTCAATATCTAATTTGATAATAGGTGTTTTAGATGCTGTAGTTTTGTTTTAACGATAGGGCTTACAACCGCACAAATGTTCCAAAATATTTGGGACTTGAACCGGGCCATAATATGAAATATTCATTAAAAATATTTGATAAGGCTCATGTTTGAGAAGCATCCTTAGGTTTCTAAAAGCTCTCTAAATCAGTCAGAGTGAAAATTAAAATGATAAAACAGAGAACAATTGATGCAGAAATGTTAAAACAAAATGATTATGGTGCAGAAAAGTTTTAAAATAGTACACTGTAAGCATTGTGGATATGCATACAATTTTTTGACTTTTTCTCATAATGTATTTTTTAAATGCTTCAGTACATTTTCCTAAAAACCTATTTAAGGTAGAGAGTATTTAAACTTTCCTACGTTGTACAACTAACTTCTTTTTTTATAAGTAACACTGTAGATTTGAATGGGAAAACTTTTGAAAATAATGAAAAATATTTTGAAATTATCTGAATTTTTTAGCAACTTAAATTTAATTAAATTTTTTAACCAAATTGAAAATTGCTTTTTATTATGGTCAAATACTATATTTTCGGTTACCATACCAAATTTTAAGGTGATAAACTCAATAGGTTTTTAGAAATGTGTAAGGAACAGGCATATTGTTAAAAAAATTTCATGTAGCTATATAAAAAGTTAATTATCTCTAGCAAACTAATTTATGCATCTAACTAAATTCTTTTTATTTAAATATAAGCTGAAATATGTATATTTACTGTGAAAAAAATCGCAATTATATCTGCATTTTTAAATAAAACATATGTTGCTGAATATTTTACAAAAACTGCTTCATTTCTCCTGTTGAGATGTTCCATGTACCCTTAAAAGTAATGAAACAGATTTTCATAAAAAAACTTTTAAAGTAAATTAATGAGTATTTTTGTGTAATTAATATGGTTGCGTATAAATATAAATATTATCTTTTATTTCTCCACTCTATATTCAGAAAAAAATTTCCTATGATACACAAATCTGAAACTACCATTATGTTGCAAGTGGGCATTTCATGCATAAAACCAAGCACAAGCACTTCTTCTGGTTATGTTTCCTTCTCCTCCCATTTATAATTGTTGAATGGGATTAGCACAAGTAACAAAAAGACAAAATTTTAATTGTCTTTGCAAGACAACGTAAATAATGGCTTTTCATTTGAGTGAAGAACAAAGCATTAGTTTTAAAAATAGATCCAGCGATTTTCCTTTATTCTTATCTAATATAAATTCCTCTGGAAAGAAAAATGTGCGACAGACATAGCAATATTTGAGAAAGCTTTGCTTGAATTTGGTAAAGCAGATGAGGATTATATGCCAAAGGAGAGAGATACCTTCTAATAAAGTCTTTCTATATGAAATTGGCTCATATACAAGATCCTAAAATATGGTATTTAATATATGGTACTCTACAAAATATGGTACTCTTCAAAATACTGTTTGAAAATAAGCTGTAAACTTTTTTAGGACTCTGATAAAATAACAATTTAGTTTTTCCTGTATTCATATGAGGACCGACATGCAAAGATAACTTAGCCCTAAATAATTCATGGGGATTGGATTATCAGTTACATTTTCTTATAAGGATGAAATGCTGAAATTCTCAGATCTAGCAAATCTTCAAAAAAGTTTAAATTTTCAAGACTTGAATCTTGGTGTTTTTATTATTCAAATCTTAGGAAAAGAAATTGCCAAACGTCTCAATTGAAAATTTTGAAAACTCCAGTCTCATGTTTCAAACACCAAAAAAGACTGGTATTTTGAAAGACTCTTTTTTTTTGGTGAGTCATTAAATTGCCAAAAAATTAACATGATTCTTGAAATTTTACTGGCATTTGATTTACAAAATTTACCCTATGATGTTTCTAAGTGCCACATTGTTTCAGTATGGTATCCAAACATTCAAAATTGTCAGTAATCGATGCACTGCATTTTTTCAAAAATTCTCAAAATCAACTCTCGTATCATCTCGATAATTGTAGACACAAATAACCTACTACAAATAGCTCCTGGATCTTTTTAAGAACTTATGGCTTGGTATAGCAACACTTTGATATGAACTTGACTCCTGTTGTCTTAACTGTTGGGCCATTCAGCTATGGTTGCTAAATTTTGAACTGTTAATTGAAATTTGAGTTGCTACTCAAATAAGTTTATCAAATTATACTGAGAAAATGAAACTTAAGATTCAAATTTTTAATCATGTATTTCATTTACCAAATTTTATTAGCATCTTTTAATAAACATAAATATTTTTTTAAATGCATTCATATATTTTTAATCAAACTCGATTTAAAAACTTAATATTGAAAGCTTTTTTTTTTCTTTTTCTTCATCTTATATTCATTTGAAAGATTGGGAAATCTGATATTCGCAGAATTAAAAATTTTCAGGAATTCAAATTTGAAGGAATTCAGGAATTCGAGACTAAAATGTAAATTAAAAATGATACATAACTGCAGTATTTCCTTGAAAAATCTGAAATACATCATTATGATACCAATAAAAGTAGGTTCATAAAAATTATTACGCAGAGCAGAAGCACTAAAACCTGAGGGATGCAGTTGCAATCTCAGCATCGACTTCATCATGAAAACTCCAAATAGGACAATAAAAACAAAGTTTCGTGAGCTACATGTAACTGGGCAGCAGAATAGATAGGAGGATCAACTATGCAAAGGAATATTAATACTAATATTTGTGTCAAAATTTCGGCCAGAAGGTGTATCTGACAGAATCTTACTCAAATTTTTACTAATGATGGATATTTTCTGATATATTATGAGAGACTTAATTAGAACTATGACTAATGATCTCATAAAAATTTACACTGTGGATTGAGCAGAAAGAAGATTGTCAAGTACAATTAAATATCATTAAGGACACACAATAGTTTGAAAATGAACAATTTTGCTGTTAGTTCATAATGAATATAACTTTTTTCTGTAGTTCCATTTTTTCTCTCTTATGCAGTTTATACACATTATGCCATATGTGCTACAAGTTGTATATATTTGTAAATTACAGTTGCAAGTCTGAAACAATACTGTACATTTGTAAATGTACACTTTTGTTTGTAATGTATCATTTAGAAACAAGTATCCAGTGAATGTCCAGTGGCATTTAGAAACAAGTATCCAGTGAATGTACAGTGGCATTTAGAAACAAGTATCTAGTGATTGTCCAGTGGCATTTAGAAGCAAGTCTCCAGTGGCATATAAAAGTAATGAGAGTTTGAAATGTATTCTGCTGGTATGAGGTACTATGGCCGCAGAAAATCAAATGTCGCATTTAGAAATTGAAAATTTATGCAGAAAAATTCTAATAGAATTTTACAGTGCACAGTGCGAAATTTACTGTATTCAGGCAATAAATCGAAGTACTCATTTCATGCAGAAAGATACTCTCTTTTGTAAAGAATGTGTCAGGATGTACAAGGTCAGGTAGAACAAAAAATATCAATAGAGTAAGTAAATGTGATACTTGGATAACGGGGTAGAAAGGAAGAAGATCATCAAGGAACATGGAAAAAAAAATACCTCAGACATCAGTGTCACTAACATCAGTATACAACAATGTCACTAACATCAGTATACCATATTTTGAAAAAAACATTGGGGCAAAAATGTTTGCACATTATAGTTTCCCTACTGCTTGATGCAACTTTAATCAGACTTGATAATAAAGATGAATGATATCTCTCTCGAATAATCTGATGAAACGAGGTTAAGTGGCATTTGACCAGAGATTAAACTATGGTCAGTCCAATGGAGAAGTCCATTATTCTCACGTCTCCAAACTTTTGGCATGCACATAGATGAAATAAATAATGATCTCTGCTTAGGACTGCCAAGGTGTCATTACCAAAGATAGAGTTCCACGTGAAAAAAGTGTGACTGCAGCATATTACTGCAAGTGTCTACAAACATTTTGCAGAAAAAAGCACAAAAGTCACTTCGCTTGCTTAAAAATGGATATGAAAAGAATGTAGCAAATACTAATAAGAAGTTCCTTCATCCAACATAAGTTCCTTCATCTTATGTTGGATATAGGAATAACATGTCCTTCATCCAACACAAGATCTATATACGAGTCCACCAAATCTTAAACATGTGTCTTATTTGAAAAGAGTCCTCCTGTTGACTGCATAAGAGGTTTCCTTATCAAGTTCTCAAACCTTTCAAAGACTGAAAACAGCAGTTCCTACATAGTAAAGCAAAGCACTTAACCATGGTTATTGAGAAGCAGGGGGACTATATGAATTGCAAGGAGAACTGCATGAAATGAAACAATATCTGAGGGGAAAAAAATTACAGTGCATTATTTTCTAAAAAACCTTAGCTTCGTTTTTATTTATTTATTTATTTGTGTGCAGTCCTGATAATCATTATCTGGTCTAAATGAAATGGCTATTACAATTCTCACAAATTGAATTTTTATTATGCTGTTTGCTATTCTGATAAATACTGCACGATGGACAATTTGAAATGGACTAAATTAATACACACATAAATTAATTTAAAAAAAAAACTTACTAATTGATGAAGGTACATGTCACTGCATGATTTCTGTTTGGAACTACAAATGTATTCCAAAAATGCAGAAACCCTCAAGTGGTTCACGAGCTGCAGTTAAGGAGCCTGAGAGCATCTTGCAGCTAGCAAGCCACAATTTGGCCATGCCTGGCATAAAATATCTATTAAGCACAATTTACACTAACAATGTCTGAATTCCAAGAACTGTTATCATTCCTTCCTTTGATTAAAAGCCTACAGGCATATGGAGATCATATGGAAAGTCAACTGAGCATGGGAGATAAAATGCCATACTTATTTTTGGAACTATACCACTATTCCTACACCTTATTAAATGGGTAAGCTTTAAATACCTTTTTTAAAGAAATAGTTAAAATCAGAATCTTTAACTAACTAGAAAAAGTAAAAGACCTTAGCATTTTCTAGATTAATTCTACTGAGCAGCTATCAATTTCATGCGACTCAAACATCCTATACAACAAGTGTCAGCAACATATGGCACATGATATAATTCTAAGCGACACACTACACCACTCTAAAAAGTTATCAAATAAAGATAAATTGCCCTTTCTCTCTCTCTGCATTGTCCTACCTCATGTCTCGTACATTTTCTCCCCTTTCGCTTAGTTAGTTGTGCCAATATATGAGTGTCGAGCATTATTCCAGTCAAAAGTATAACTTAGTTTGATGCACATAGTGTGCTACAGGTTACTTTTAACAACACAATCTTAGTTTTATTAAGAAAACTTGTATTTTATTTGCTTAATTATTGCAAAGTCCTTAATCACCTGCCATCCTTGACCCTTGAAGCTTCAACTGTTATAGAACTTTTAATGGAAAACTTATTTTTCTGATTTGAAATACCTCTTCTTATTCACTCTAACCAAGAAACAAATTTTTACATCTACCATATTTAAGAGATTATATAGAATTCTCAGTACTCAGAAGACTTAAACTACTCCTTTCCATGGCATGGCATGGTGCAGCAGCTGAATCAAACAATATTGGACCACCCATCTCTGTTTGCACTCCAAAGCCAGCAGGACTGGAAACAAAAATTACCTTCATTCCTACTAGCTTACAGATGTGTCATTCATAAAAACACTGAATTTTCTCCATTGCAAAAGATTTTTAACAGAGATCTTCATTTGCTGATACCACCAGACATGTTTTCTTCATTTGGACAATGTCTAAAAGATTCACTAAGTACATTGGCTCATCAGGGAAAGGATTACTCAGCAATTAAAATAATGAACACACGATACAATGCCAAGTCAACGGAAAGTAATTCAAACAGGAAAATCAAGTCTCTTTGTGTATCCTACAGCAGACATCCTAGGAAAGGCCTTTCCATGTGATCAACAAACTGAATGATGTAATGGTTCAGTCTGTACAGTTTGTTCAGTTCATACCCAAAAAAAAATCCTTTCCTAAACTACTATAAACTTGCACTTTTATGATGGTTAGTTGTCTCTAGTTTTAGGGATTGCACTGCCCTTAAGGAGGTGGTAATATCACAAATTTGTGTAAATATTTAAATTCCTTCATATACTATATATTTGTTGTGATACATTCTAGCATTTTATTATTTTTTTCACTTTTGCACTGAAGTAATAGTTTTAGGATTTCTTTTGCGAGTAACTGAAATTATGGCCACATATTATATACATAAGTAAGTGTTTTATTCTTGTATAGAATTATAGATATTTTAATTCTGAATCAAATGACATTCATATTGTTAAAACAGCTACACTAGAACATAGGATAAGTTCAAAAATGCTCCTGACAGGCCTTGGCATCAATGTTTGTTTCTTGTCACCAGGTTAATGAATGACATTTACTGATTTCTAGACAGTATGGCAATTTTTTTTAAGTTTACGAATGAACTTTTGAAGCCTACAACTGTACCCCCCCAGAAGCTTCCAGAAACCCTTAAACACCATATATATATATGCTCCAGTAGTCAGGAAGAGGTAGTTGTTACTCAAGTGTGCAAAGAACTACAAGAATTAAATTGAATTTAAATTTTTACACTATAGATCATATTGGGAATTTGTAATATTTCTTTGTGTACTAATGAACTTTTACCCAATACCTGTGGGTGTCATTTTTATTTATAATACATTGACAATTTCTTCCTGGTAAGAGACATCCACAAACCTGTAGCTCAAACAAAATATTACAGGTGAATATTTAATACAGTAATTGTAAAGTAGCTATAATAGCATGCAGACAGTTTTAAGTCATCTGACAACTTTTTGAGAAAACATTGAGGAAACTAACATAGTAGCATGTATTTTACATAAACTGCATAAAAACTGTGGAATGTTCACGCAGGCATATTATGTTGAAGGATGGAAGATAAAAATTAATACTTTCACCACATCTTAATTTATCTGTGCAAAGATAAAATAGCTGCATTTGCAAGATTTGTGCTGTGAATGGTGATGATGCACTAACTGAACACACATGTCAGAAGACTGGTTCGGAAAATTTTATTCTGGCAATTTTCCAGTTCAAGATACACCCTGTTCTAGTAGACTGAAATTGGTAAATTAAAGGACTGATTGATGCAGATTATCATACAATAGTAAAATGATGAAAAATGAATTGCTTACAGTAACACTGAATGTAAAAATCACAGTCTAAGCCTATTGAGCCAGTTGAAACATTATCAGAACCTCATATTTATCAAAGAAGGTTATGTTATCAAATTGGAGGTTTAAGGGGAACTTTTTATTTTAAGCTTTTACTAAGAAACAGAATTATCAGTTCCAGTATATACAGCCAAAAATTAACAACTGAAAGACACTTTACAACAGAAATTCCTGCAATTGGTCAATTATAGAAGCATTCCATCATCACCATGCCAAACCACACACAAGTTTAATGAATTGTCAGCAACTACTGGACATTGGATAGGGATACCACATCCACTATCTAATCCTAAAATTACACCATGACTATCATGCATTCCACTTTCATCATGGACTACTATAATTTTCAGATAAATGTGTCAAATTCCACCTGAAAAACTTCTTACAGAAAAAAAGATCAGAAGTTCTTTGAAAGTGGAATCATCAATTTGTCTGTCAGATGGCTCATATTTATTGAACAAAATGATCAATATATTACTGATTAAAATGTATTTCTTCATATAAAATTGTTTTTATTTTAATGAAAACAAATAGAAACAATATCAATACAGTTATTTAAAACAGCACACTAAAAACACTTGCAAAGATAACTTACTTTTGAAATTCTCTGTTATGTCTGATGTAACAGATGGAATAATTGAAGACATGTCATTTTGTTTAAGCCATAATGTGAAACTGAAACCTTTATGGAATGTATTCCAACCTGTATCATCAGTAACAGATAGATATTGGGCAGCTGATGTCCATGCTGATGATGTATTTAGAAGTGAAGCATACAAGCAATGAGTGTTGTAGGCTGTTTTCAGTCTCTTTTTTAGTCGAAAATCAGGCAAGTTGCCCTTCTGAATTCCAGGGAAACATAAGCTCCAAGTTGGGTGATCTACCATATCATCTACTAACTTATTTAAACTTTTCAGAAGAACTGCCTAAGAAATAAATAAATAAAAATAATAATAAAAATTCAATTTTAATATATATATATATATGTAATATATTCAAACTCAGAAGCAATGACCAGGAGCAGGAATTTTGATGGTGTAGAAGTGCTAATCCATAATGACTAGGAAATTGGAGGCGAAGGCAGATTAAATCTTCAGTATTATTTTCAGCAACATATTGCGGCTACACACAAGTCGGCACATTAAATGTGCCTGTTCCAAAAGGCTTACATTTTTGATAGATTTGGAGCAAAAATGAAGAAGCAAGCAGACTGCAGTCCAGCTAAGGCAAAGTGTAGGGAAAAAGTGCATAATGTTCAGAATGAAATCTTAAGTCAAACTGAGTTAGTTTTGGTTCTCAAAGCATTTTGATTGCATAGTTAATATTTCTGTAAAATTATTATTGGCTGCTTGAGTTTTAATTCAGTTTACATCACCAGAATTACGTAAGAGTTATATGACATAGATTTTTCTCGAAATAGATGTTGCTGTTTTTAGAATAGAGAAGGGAAATTAATTTATGCTGCTAATTTAATCTTTTACATATTCTTTATTTTTCTTGCATATATATATATTATATGTCTGTTGCAAAGCTTAAAATATATTACTACTGCTAAAATTTAAATCAAATGCATTTTATCAACATTTTTCCTTCATATTAAAGATTTTTTTTTTTTAAGCATATATTGCTCAAACTAGGATAATTACTAAACTAAGAAACATTGACTAAACATAGACAAAAAAAAAATATAAAAAATAATAAATAAAAACATAGACATTTATAAAAGTGCTTAATATTTTTCACTGAAATTTTGGTACTCATGTATTATACTCTTGACCATCATACGCTCACCAAGCAGTGCTATTTAATGCCAATTATGGATAAGTGTGATGTAGTGACATACTAATAATACCTCCACTTTTGTTTGATATAATCCTCCTTTATTCTTGATAAGTTCCATTTTGTATTTATGGACAACTATGAAATTAACTGCTATTACTGTATTTTTCCCCTTGCACTTTGAAAAAGTGATTACAATTTTAGACTTAATTTCTATAAAACAGTAAGCAAGAGATTATTTTCAAAGATAATCTTACAATAAAAAAAAGTGTGCATTAATGCATATGATACGGTCAGTTGAATATGGTGGATAAAACAGACTGGATCATCAATATGATGGAAATTTGTATTCATGGAGAGAGCTTCTGATAAAATCAGAGGACCTAAAATAGCAGAAATTGCTAAAAGCCTTTTTATCAAAATCTAAGTAGCAAATGTTTTGGCTGTGCTTTTTGCACAGAAAGTTTTAAACGTTGTTGATGCACCTTGGTGAAACTTTCAAAGAATATTTTATATAAAAATAGATAAAATATATGGAACACCAAAAAAACCATATTTAAAGCCAAAAATTTTGGACTGAATTTCATCAGTGATTACAATATTCTAAAACAATCTCCACAGTAATAAGTCACAAAGACTTATTATTGTGGAGACTAATTTATTCCATAATTCTGCACTCCTAATGTTAGTAAGCTTGAACAAAAAATATTGTTAAGGTGTGCTTCTGCGCATTGTGGTGACACTAGAAATGCTTATTCAAGGTTGTTTAGCCCTTCGCGGTAAAAGTGGCACATTTTATAATTTCAATAACGGTTATTTTTCACAAATAATTCAATTACTTGCTCAGTTTGACCTAACCAATGGACAGGCATATTCAATGAGTGTTCAAACACAATTAAGCTAAAGTTTATTATCTAGGAAAAAAAATCTTGAGACGAAAATAATTACCCTTTTACACGAGACATATTGTCAGTGAAATTAAACAAGCCAGGTATTATTCTATAAATCTAAATAGCACTCTTGATGTCAATAAAATCAAACAAATAATGTTCTTGATAAGGTATTGACAAATCTAGTCCCAATGAGGTTACCATTAAAATCCATGAAATGTATTTAGGTTTTCTTCCAACTAAAAGCTTGAATGGAGAAAAAATTAATTTAATAGTTCAAAAACTTACAAAACTTAAATTTGCTGGATATGTGGGGACAGGCCTAGATAATGAAGCAAACATGAGAGGCAAAAACTCAGGGTTACAAACTAGAATTTGGATGTTAAATTGCAAGCAATCTACATGCCATGTACTAGCCCCTCTTTGAATTAGTTAATGACAGGGTAAAGACATCCTTAGAAGACTGTAATTTTTTTAATATGGTCCGATAATGTATTTTCTTCTTTCATCATCAACTCTTTAATGGGCCATATTATTAAAATATAGAAAGGAGCTAACTTTAAAATCATTAACATGATCCTTACAAGAAAAGCTGAAAAGAGGTTATAAAACCCTTAAAGTATCAATTAGGAAGTATTACTTAATATATATAATAATGCTGAAATTGAGAACTCTTGAAGAGATGAAGCTTCCGGGTTATTAAACTCTCTTAAGCACTTCAAGTTCCTATGCTCCAATACTATTTAGCACAAAATTTTAATTGCATTAATCCAATTAACAAGCTACTGCAGATAAAAGACCACAATCTACCATCTGCTATGAAAATCCTAAAAACTGCAAATATCTTTTTAAGTATCTTTGATTGGATGAGGGTTTTTATGAAATGCTCTGTGATGCAAGAGAACTGGCCGATGAAATTAATATCCTGGCTAACTTTTAACTGATGGAGCCACAACAAAAAGTTCGATGAACAAATATTAATTTTAATTATAAAACACAGGATAATCTGGTGGAAGATCCTAAATTAAAGTTCAACATAAGAGTTTTATTTTTTATAATTGATCAAGAGATTAATGCCTTGTTGAGATCAAGAGATTAATGCATAGTTAATTTAATGAGTACCCACAGCAATTATTTTTTATTTTGGTTCAACATATATGACTTAAACAGTACCCCTAAAAATGTATTAATTGTAAAAATTTGGAAAGACTATTAGCTGATAGTAAACTGAATATCAAAGCGCTTGATCTAGCAGATGAAATAGCTTCTGTTTCAGACTTATTAGGCAAAAAGAAAAGCTTGGTTGAAGTTTTAAAACTAATTTTAACCATAGATTTTGGACCAAATCTTGCTACTGCTTTAAAAATTTTGCTTTCTTTGCCAATAAGTATATAAAATAGAAAGAAGAGCTTCTCAAAATTAAAACTTTTTTTAATTTCTTACGCTCCACAGCTCTTCAATATAGGTTAAATGGTTTAGCTACACTGACTGTAAAACATAAATTAGCTGAACAAATTTATTTAATAATTTAATCAGAAAGTTTTCTGAATTATGTCTTTAAAAAAACTTTGATTTTTTTTTTTTTTTTAATTTGTTTTGAATTTCATTGCCTTTTTTTTTAGTTTATTTTATAGTTTTTAATAAATATATTTTTTTGTTTGCAAGAACTATTAAAGTTTTATAGGTTTCTAACTTTCACTCTCTTTTAATGATCATTATTATCATGAGGGTAGCTGGGTGGCATTTTACATTTAAGTCTGGGGTCACAAAACTGCTAGAGCAGACACCGACAATTTTTACAGTCAGTGGGATAATATATAAACATCAAAACTTTTCAAGTAATGTTTAAAATACCTCATAACCAAAAACACTAGATATTTTTTAATGAAAAAGTAAGGCAAGTTTTTATCTAAAACTAACTGAAATTATACTTTTTACAGTTATTCAAGTAAAACAAACACAAATAATAATAATAATAATAATAATAATAATAATAAGAGCAAGTGTTCAAGAACAACATATTCTAAACTTTTATCAATGTAAAGAAAATATAAGAGTATGGCAGAAAAGCATTATATTCTATCATGGCAGTAAGTATTGCTTAGAAATATGATAATGCAAATTATGGGGTCATAACAATGACTTGTTTATAACTAAATGCTTATGAACAATCTATAAGATTCATTAAAAATATATAAAACCTGACCTATCTGCTATAGATATGATTATTTCTTAACAATTTATTATCATCACTCGCCATTTATTTTACATGAAAACAATTTTTAGCAAACTATATCCAACAAAATGCTTATTGGAATAAAATGCTCTTCTAGATATTAAATAAATGAACGTGATTTTATAATAAAGAAATATAATAAACAATGGTACATTTCTTAAAATAACAATATACAGGGTTCGTACACATCTCCTTACTTGAAAATTAAGGACTTTTAAGAACTTTTAAGGACCATCAAAGAAACAATTAAGGACCTATCAGCAAACAAAAAAACGAATAGAATAAAGCAATTATCCATACAACCGACTTCATGCTTGTAATTTCAGTTTAAGAAACTAACAGAAGTGTGTATTATGCACTATTATTAAATTCATTTTAATACTTACCATAAAACAATTTTGAAAATTAAACTAACTGCCTACAAGTTATGAAGTAGATAACATTAAATTAGGAACATAATTTCTTTAAAAACATGTATAAGTGTATTTTACACTAATAACAGTCACTATTTTAGAGATTTACATGATTATTATTAACTTATTGATATTTATTTAAACACAGTCAACTATATTATAATCACAATGTAAGAATATTTTGCAGATTAAAATAACTGATTGTGAAATGTCCTTCTTGCGGCATTTATCATTCATTAACTGCTCAGCAATGAATCCCAAATAAACTTTACTTTTATCATTATAACAATTTGGATCATTAAAATTAAATTTATAAAGATTTTCTGCTTTACTTATTTTTGAATATTCTAGTTTCAAAATTTTAAAGTGCTGAAGGCAATCATTTACAAGTTTTAAGATATCTTCAGCAAAAAAGGGAATAAGTGGTTTATCACTTTGATAATATTCAAGGAAAGGCAATAATATTTTCGACAGAGAGAGAAAAAATTTAATTTTTTTTTTTATAAGAAATGTTTTATCTTTAGTTGCCTCCAAAATATTTGAGAAGGATTTCGATGAATTTTTTTTTAAACTTCCCCATTTCAACTTCTTTAATGTACAGTAGCAAG